GGCTTAGGGTTTTAGGGTTTAGAGGTTTAGGGGAACATAGCTTACCCTCAGGGTCCAGGTACCCAAATAGTAGATACTTTTGGCCTTAAAGAGTTCCAATTTGGTTGGGTACTTTGGGGCCAAAGTATCTACTATTTGGGTACATGGACCCTTAGGGTTATTTGCTTGCATGAGGTTGTCTACTGTCTTTGAGAATCGGGCCTGGGGTAGATTGCAGGAAAGTTGATTCTAATTAGGCTACAGGGACTATAGAGTGCTTTCAGTAGGTATTCAGATGTCTACAATGCGTCAAGAAGGCCAACAAGAAGTGTAATGCGGTGCGTGCGCGTATACATAAATCTATGCCATGTTTTTCCGGACGTATGTATGTGTGTACAGAGCGACACTGTGCACATGCTACTTAGCCGAATGCATGTAGTAGTTGTGGCAGAAGCATCGAACACCCATGGGAAGACACATAAGTTGCTTCCGTAACAAACACACTAACCCCGGTTTGCCCAACAGCGCGGGATGGATCGTGGCTTCCGTTCCCGATACCTCGATGCGCGTGGAGGCCATGCACGCCATCGAACGCAGTTTATCCTTCTCATCCTAGAAACCTTCTAAATCCCGAAGCCTAAAGCCTGAACCCCAAAGCCCAAACCCTAAACTATAAACCCGAAATGCTAAGCCCTAAGGCCCTAAGACCCTTAAAGCCTGAACCCTGAACCCCATAGCCTGAACCACAGGATGTTGACAACTGGGGTCCCGACGTTGCCTTCGGCGGCTGGCGCAGCGCCGTGTCGGACGTCGAGGAGGCCTCGAAAGACCCGAGCGAGGATACTAGAAGTCTGAATACGTGCTGGTTCTACAAGGGCTACTTAGCCTAAGGGTTTAGAATCGTTCTTAGGCTGGCGTTACAATTAAAATAGGGTTCTGTTGCTTTTTGTATTCTAACTGTATAGATCTGGAGATAATAAGCGGGCATATACTATTCCCGGTCTTTCCTCCGGGAGTTAGTTTAAGGCTCGACACCCTAAATCCTATAAGTCGCTTATAAACCCTAAATCCTGCCCCTAAACCCCAAACCCTAGCCCTTTAAGAGACCCTGGTGCCTTCTTAAAAGGGGCAGACAGGGCCGGGGCAGTTTTGGAAGCGACGAGGTTCCCAAGAAAACATGTTCAAATTCCTTACCCTATACTTTTCAAGGGCTTAGGGTTTAGGGTTTACCTGTAGTCTCCATTGTAGTTCCGTTTTGGGGATACCTTATAAAATCCTTAATATATTCATTGGTTAAACCAAAAACAGGAACCACAAAGGAGACTGTAGGTAGGACCTCATAGTCTTAGGGGTACTTAGAAATAATTTTTAATCTTTGGCTACTATAAGCCCTAAGAAGCAGCTAAAATTATAATTTTTGCCAGGGGCCTAAGTTTAGTATAGTAGTTGGGGCCCCAGATCCCTTAAGGACCCAACAATAAGGCCCCCTGGAGGCTCAGGGTGAGGGCTTTATAAGGGGTCAGGAGTCGCATGGGGTGACAGAGAAAGGAGGTTATGCAAGGGTTTATAATAGGGTTTAGAGGTTAGTGGTTTAGGGTTTCGGAATTGGGGGTCTATAAGGTTTATCTAAGATCCTCATATACTATATAGTATGTTTATACGAATACATACCGCCAAAAGCTAGCCTATTCTAGTCTGACTACTGAGGCCCTCATATCATAATAACTTCAATCTTTCATTAAACACCCCCCTTAATGATAACAATGCATTGGGCCCAGTCCTTCCGATATCATCCCTGCAATTTAAAACCTTTTCTGAATTAAGGGGAGGGTTTCGAGGTTCCAAATACCTTCAGAGCACAGTAAGAGCAAGAGCAGGATCAAGAGCAAAAGCGCGAGCATCAGCAAGAGCAAAGCAAAGCAAGAGCGGGAGTAAGAGCAAGAGCAGGAGCAAAAGCTGGAGCAACAGCAAGAGCGGGAGCACGGGCAAGAGACGCACCAGAAGCAGGAGCAAAAGTCAGCGCGGGAGCAAGAGCCAGAGCAGGAGCAAGAGTGCATCCCCCCAAAAGTAGCACTAGAGATAAACCTACACCCTAAAAATGAAAGCACTTCCGAGTAGCTATTGGGGGGGCCCCCCCCCGTTTACTATTTGTGGCAAAGGATTAGAGTCCATAAAGTAAGAAACCCTGATGGAACCCTTTAAAAGCAGGAGCTGTAGTATGCATCGAGGCCGTCTGGAAGGGCCTGGCGTTTCCTGAGCTGCACACAGCTGCGGGGCACCTGATGGCAGAACTTGCCAAAGCCGGGCTCCTTCCGGACATCTTTGCGGCGATGATGGAGCAACACGGTAAAGGAGATGTTTAATTCAGCAATGAGCGATAATACCCACAGTAATTATGATGGTACGTCTCACTGTCTAATTTCACGACATTCTGACGAAAATGTATACCAAGACCTGTTCTAGGCGTGTTCAGGGCATCAGAATCCTAGAGGCTGGTGCTATTTTGGTCGACCATCTAATTTCTATATCTGTCTCCCTTTTGGGTCTGGGGCTTTACGGGCTGCCCCAGGCATCCGCCGGTGGTGGGTCTGGGCGGAACGACCCTGCCGCAGGGTCGCGAGCCTTCGGATGTGCAGCCTCCCAGGGATCCAAGGTTTCAGTCGATGAGCATCCCGGGGTACAACATGCACCTCGACCTAATATAGGGGCCTTAGTACTTAGAATAGGGTTTGGGGTATAGTATACGCTAAACATAGTAAGGAACCCCTAAAACCCTGTTCTAGTTATTATACACTATGCATAGTTATTATAAGGCCCCAACGTTGCCATGGCATATACTCTGTTCTGTTCTTGCGAGGTCCCTAGAACTTCTATATGGGTAGTTCTCTAAATTAGGGTCTCTTTTTTAGTCCCCAATATAGTACGGCACCCTGATATAAGGGACCCTAAAAGGGACCTCAATTTAGAGAACTACCTATATCAGAGTTTAATTTTAATGAAGAACCTGACCTGCTGTTTGTGGTGCCTCTATCATAAGGTTAATGCCTCTGTTGCTACAGAAAGTATAGGTTATAGTAGCCCTAAACCCTAAACCCCTAAACCGTAAACCCTAAGCCTCTAAACCCCTAAACCCTAAACCCTAAACCTAGACCCTAAACCCTAAACCCTATATATAGGTTGTGATAGATCCAGGAAGCCGGTGAACCGCTATGAAGAGCGTGCCTTGCGCATGTGGGGCGATGAAGAGATCGAGGAAAACTGGGACCCGGTGAGGCTGGGTTTAGGGTTTAGGGCTTATAGGGCTTTGGGTTTGGGGTTTAGGGTTTAGGGTTTAGGGCTTATAGGGCTTAGGGTTTAGGGTTTGGGGTTTAGTTTAGGGCTTCGGGCTTAGGGCTTAGGGCTTAGAGCTTCGGATTTAAGGTTTAGGGCTTAGGGTTTAGGATTTAGGGCTTAGGGTTTCGGGTTTGGGGTTTGGGGTTTAGGGAAAACTGGCACCCGGTGAGGCTGGGCCTATCCTACATCGACCTGACCCCGGCCTGCGATCTGCCGCTGCAGGTCGCCAGGGATCCCTAACGGCCCGAAGCCTCCGAAGGATCCCTAAATCCTAAGGGCCCTTAGGGGTTTAGGGTTTAGGGTTTAGGGTTTAGGGTTTAGGGTTTAGGGGTTTAGGGTTTAGGGGTTTAGGGTTTAGGGTTTAGGGTTTAGGGCCCTAATCCCCACAGCCTACCCATAGGCCCCATAGTAGTTCCTTTTTGTGGCTTACATTTAGGATCCTATCTGGCTATTAGGGAATCCCGAAAAGGAACTACTATGGGTCCTATGGGTAGACCATCCGAAGCCCGAAGCCCGAATTCCGGCTATCCTAAAAGCCCTAAAATCCTTAAACCTCAACCAAATTATGATACCGCCTTTACAAGTACGTATTAACAGAGCCTCCGTAGACTTCTTGCAGACCTCTTCAGGCACATTTAAAGGAACCCTCCACTTCCTAAGCACCCTATAAGGGGACACTGTAAACCCAATAACCCGGATTTGGTACCCTATAGATCGTAAACCCTATAAAGCGCAACTTTGTACCCTGTAGATCCTTATAGAACCCTCAAAAGGAGTCAAGGGAATCCAGATCTGGAAGGGGATACTATCAAGCCAGTGCAAGCCTCTGGCACGACCCTTAAAAACACACGCCCCTCACCGAGCCCTAAACCCTAAACCCTAAACCGTACACCCTGAGAAGTCATCAGACTAGGTGACTTCTCAGCGGTGAGAAAAGGTCTGGTAAAAAACATCATACACCCTAAACTTAACAACTCCAAAACCCTAAACCCTAAACCCTAAACCCTAAACCCTAAACCCTAAACCCTAAACTTAACAACTCCTAAACCCTGAACCCTAGACTTCAAACCAGGCCCTACGGTAAGCCCCTAAAGCCCTACGGTGAGCCCCCCTAAACCCTAAACCCTAAACCCTAAACGCAGGTCGCCATGTGCTTCCTGAGCGCAGCCTTGTGGCTCTGGAGAGCCTTGGAGCTGTTGGGCGATAACTGTGGAGGCGACGGCTGGCTGGACATCTACGTCTTCGAGGATCCCGTACCTTTAAGGGAATACAGGCGTAGGGTTCCTCTACAGGTTCTACAAGGGGTTTAGGGTTTGGGGTTTTGGGTTCCTTTAAAGGGCGCCTGTGATCGGGGCCTAGTATGGTTCCATTAAGAGTTCTTCGGGGACCTCATGCCCTAAACGTGTCGGCTTCAGGTGTTGCAGGGCTTTATCTAAGATAGGGGCCTTCACAATTACAATATAGGGTTTTGGGGGGTATGCTATACCATAATCATAGTAAGGAACCCCAAGCCCTATTCTAATTACAGTATTACATAAGGCCCCTACATTACATGCTCGATGGTGTCATACTCTTGCAAGGTTGATATTCGTTTGGGGGTTATATAAGGGCTTTGCAGCTGCATGGTTTTAGAACGGGGCGTAAAGAGATTGTATGTGCATATAAACCCTAAACCCCAAACCCTAACCCCTAAACTATACATATATATATATATATATGTCTCAAGCATCTTATAAACTTAAAGGAGCTTAAAGGGTAGGGTTTAGGGATCTTACTTTTGAGGCCCTAGGCGAAACGGGGTGATTAATATCCTACTTTTGAGGCTCTTGGCGAAAGGGGGTTATCAGTCAGGGATCTCATACCCAACACAGCTGTCGATGGCTATCGGGGTTTAGGTTTGTAGGTTATGACTCGTTTTTATAGGGTCCTTTTGGATCCCCAGAAAGGGCTGTTGGGGAGTAGGCTTTGAGGGTATGGGGGTTTTACGCTTTAGGGTGTCGGGGTAGACCCTCTACAAAACCCTATGAGAAAAGCCCTATACAGCCCCAAACCCTAAACCCCCTATTTCAAAGCGTTGCGGGTTACAGATAAGCGCCCCTAAGGATCTAGGCCCTGCAGGATATTTGGTCTGCTCCGGAAGCTGCAAAGCGCCTGGCCATGCAGTAGCTGTGACTGCAATTACTTGGTTTAGGGTTTAGGGGTTTAGGGTTTATAGGGTTTAGGGTTTTAGGGTTTTAAGGGTTTAGGGTTTAGGGTGCTCTCTTTTGAGGCGTCTACCCTTTGAATTACAAGGTCATCTCGAAGCCCTGAAACGTCATAAAGCCCTGACCTCTAAAGACTCTAAAGCCAAATACCCAAAACCGTAAGCCCCGAAACTCCCAAAGCCATAAGCCCATAGAGCCCTGATGCCCCTAATCCCCCAGAGCCACAAAAGCACCCAAAACCCTGCGCCCCCAAACCCTAAACCCTAAACCCTATAAACCCCAAACCCTAAACCCTAAACTCTAAACCCTATAAACCCTAAACCCTAAACCCCAAAGCCATCAACCCCTGAAGCCCTGACGCCCCAAAGTTCGTGCAAACCCCAAAGCCCTTCAAATTGTGTCCTACCACCCCTACAGCTCTAAACCCTAAACCCTCTAGACCTTATAAACCCTAAACACTATAAATCCTAGACCCTAAACCCTAAATCCTAAATCCTAGACCCTAAACCCGAAATCCAGACCCTAAACCCCAAGCCCTGTGTTCCGCAGATACAGCCTGAAACGCGCAGTTCTGGAGCTCGTGGACTACGCAGCCAACATGGCAGCTAGGTAGGCCACTGGCATAGCTTTTGACAGTCTATATTGGTTTAGGGTTTATAAGGGTTTAGGTGTGTTGGATCATTGGGCTTAAGAGGACCTCACGGAGATTTTATTCCTAAACCCGCAACCCTTAACCCTTCGCGGGAGGAAACAGACCTTAAACAACAAATCAATCCGACACCCTACGCCGAATCTTGACCCTGAGCCCGAAGCCCAATTTTTTGTGAGGGAGTTTTGAGGGCCAACTTAAGAACCCAAAACCTACTTTTTTGCAGGGTCCCTATAAATCCCATATTAGGGTTTATAATAAGAACCTACAAAAAGTGTGTTTGGGGTTCTTAAGGTAGACCCTAAAGCCCTAAAGCCCTAAACCCGTAAAGCCCTAACTCCCCTACCCTTAAGGGAATTCGGGCAATACTCATACTGATATTCAGAATTGATAGTAATATTGGCTAGTACTAGACCCTAAACGCTAAACCCTAAACCCTAAACCCTAAACCCTAAACCCTAAGTACTAGGACGAGTACCAATACCAAGGCCGAGCACCAGCTTTTGCCCGGTGCCCGGCTGGCCGTCCAACGCAGTGGGTACCTGCTGCTGCGGAAGGTACAGGGCTAAGGCTTAGGCATTTAAAGGCCTTAGAGTTTAAGAGCATGGGGCTTTTAGGGTTTAGGCTCTAGAATATCGTGTTCAGAAAACTGTCATTAAAACCGTCCAATGCCTCGTACATCTTAATTGCTCGTCCGTTTGTCTGCCTGTCTGTCTGTCTGTCTGATTTGTCTATAAGTCTATCCATCTACCTATATTACACCTATTTGTCTATCTTGACCCTACGGTTGTTGTTTGCCTCTCTGGGAGGTCACTGCACGCTTCGGCGTCGCAGAAGACGGTCCGAAAGTCATGGCTCAGCTGAAACGCTACTTCGCGGCTGCTCGGGTGCCTGGGGAGCCAAGAGAGGGATCTCAAAAGTAGGGGGGAGTGTATGTATGCATGCATGTGGACATGTATGTATATCTGCCTATGTCTATGTATTTCTTTGTATGTCACTATACCGTGTGCATGTAGATAATATAGATATGTAATACATACGTGTGTATGTATGTATATATGTAAGAGGGGCTCATGTCCCCGAAGGTGAACCCGCTTTGGTCGCCACCGGTGCTTCCGGTCTCCGATGCTGTTTTCATCGACATCTTGTCAGGCAGGCATAGGGCTTTCGGGAGGGCTTAGGGTTTAGGGCTTGGGATAGGCAGGCTTGGACGGCAAATATTGGGATTAGGTATGGTTTTAATTCAATTACGATTCAATTCAGAGTAGGGTTGAGGGATACTGTCAGGCAGGCTGCATGCAGCCTTCCTCGAAAAGCTGCATTCCTTCACCCATGAGTCGGACTCGTCGGTTCTGCCTCAAGCTGTGCCAGAGTACACACTCTACGAAGCAGCACTACTTGGTGGAGGTGAGGTCAACATGACCTTTGCACGTTATGAGCTGATGGGCGCTTTGCTCCGCGACACGCGCAACACGTGGTCACAAGTTGAGTCCCTGCTCCTGGGTCACGTGCATTTATCTTTTTGTTGGTTTAAAGCTGAGGATCGGGTCACCCTTGTGGCCTTGTGGCCGTAGCAAAGTCTTAGACAAGCAGAAGTTTGAACTTTCCCGTCCAACCAGGCTCAGCGACGCCCCGTTCCACCAGGACGCCGCAGGCTTCGTGTCCGACCAGCGGCCGAGACCAAAATGGGCCTCCCTCGTGGCCGAGTTCTCAGCGGTACGTGGCCTTCGAGTGGATGCCGGCACCGGCACAGCGACCCTATTGCTGTCAAGGCCCTCATTATAACTATCATTAACAGTGCTACTGTTGTTATTGCCGTAAATTGGGTTTTATTGCTACTACAATGTTTTTTTATAACTAGCGTATGTTGGTTATACAGTGTTATTCTTAGTAACATACCCATAGGCCCCAGAGTATATAGTTTCCTTTTTGGGGTTCATACTTGGAATCCCATAAGGTAATCCGAAACAGGAACTACTTTGGGGCCCCTAAACCCTAAACCCTAAGTTATTGTTAGTAACATGCCTGAACCCTAAGTTATTGTTATAGTAACATCCCTAAGCCCTAAACCCTAAACCCTAAGTTATTGTTAGTAACATCCCTCAACCCTAAACCCTAAACCCTAAACCCTAAACCCTAAACCCCTAAACCCTAAACCCTAAACCCTAAACCCTAAACCCTAGGTATAAGTACCAGGCCCTCGGCCGCTGCGCCAGCGCTCTTCTCCTTGGCGGACATGGCTGCAGTTCTCGCGTTGGAGGACACGGAGCCCATGGCTGCTACTGGGTTTAGGGTTTAGGGTTTAGGGTTTAGGGTGTTACTGGATTCTGGAGTATCATACTTTAATCTTGGGGTCTCAACAAGTACCACTACCGGGGTCCTTATTCTAATTGTATAAGTATAATATACCCCATAACCCTGCTCTAATTATTAAG